CTTTTTTTCTCCTTCTATACTGGTTTTTTCATACTGTATTTGAATTTCTGCAGTGAATATAGCTGATATGGCAATCTCAAAATATTCCTTTTTCTTGGGAAAATATTCCAATTTCCTGCTGCTGTGTTTTGTGCATTGCAGGAGTGCACTGCCTGAAAACCTAGAGAAAGTAGGCTATGATCACTTGGTCTTAGACCCTAGGAAGCAGAAGTCCTGGGACTTTTGAAAATGGAGAAGGTTTTAATTAGCATCTGTGTTGTCACAGTAACCATACAAAGTAGCCATAGAATGATAACTGACATTACATTCATGAAAATGTTTGTATATATGTGTGGATGTCTCTGTCAGATGGGACAAATTCCATGCACATTCATAGCAGGTTATCTTATACAGAATTTATAAATTTGTAATAAAAGGGAGCTAACACATATAAAAACCTCAAAATCAAGAACAACAAAAACTGTATACAGGATTTATTCAAGCATGGAATACTGAGAAACCTGCCAAAATAGATAAGGAGCAACCACATCTCTTGAACATGTTAAGATTTCTAAGGTTTCAGGCATCTTGACTACTCCAGAAAATACATCAGTTTTACTAGTGAGGATAGGATTTGAAATGAAGGTATAAACCCTATATAGAAACATTTAGAAACATGTATTTCCAAAGGTTTTCTTGAAGTGAGAAACTAGGGTATATGTACAGATTTTGAAGGAATAGATAAGAATGGTCCCTTCTTTCTTTCTCCCCCACCCATGGGCCAGTGATGCAAACAAAAAGATTTTGTGGCAGAGTCCTTGGCATTTTTTCACCTTCATGTTTATTAGAAATGTTTTGTTTAATATCAGTAGAGGAATGATTTATATAATATTTTAATTAACCATAAAACCTTCAGAGTATGTAGGTGAGTGGGTGATATATTTGAAGTGGTAGAAAATCTGTTTGCAGCCTGCATTCTTTCGTGTCCTCAAGTTAACTGTTTCTGATGGGAAGGAAAAAAAATATTTTTTGCTCTATTTAAGACTATAACTTCTCCAGATATGTGATGTATTTTGAGGTTAATAAGAGCTTTCGTTTGCAGACTGGACGGTGTTGAAGCAAGGGCTCTGTCACATTTATTGTGCTCTCAATGGGGAGTTGCTGCACGTCTAACAAATAAAAAAATTGACACGTGATAATTTCTTTCAGTGAATTTTTTCGGTAATGCTATGTTCTGTTTCTCCTGAAAGTACTGAAAAGGAGGGAATTGAAGGTAACTTTAAATCACCACTGTGAATGAACATGTAGATAGAAGTATTCATAGCTGAAAGGAAGATTTGCAGCTCTGTGTTTTGCATAATATTTAAAGGAGTGTGTACTTGTACTTGTGTGTACTGGTTCAGGTGCATGTTAAACTGCACATAACTCAAAATTGTCCTCCCAGCTCCTAAGGGGTACTGTTAGCACTGATAAAAATAATTAGCGGTGTTAATATGAGCACACTATTCCTTTGACTGATGATAAAGAAAAAAATATTTATATGATATTTAAAAATATTAAAATAAAGGTCATTAAAATTACAGTTAGTTGAGTAAACCTGTCCTGTAGTAATGCTAAATGGTTGGGGTTTTTAATTGCAGCATCCTGTAATTTTTCTGTAAGGAGAGGTTTGGTTTTTTCCTGTTATAAAGTAATTCAAGCCTACTGTTTGATTGACTAGTATGTGATTGTGTCGTAGTTTGGATTTTGGTGGGGTTTTTTCCTCTAGTTTATTTATAAAGTGCATGTTTTAGTCACATCACGGGACTCAACCCACTCCTGTAAATTCCTTCATTGCTGAGGGAAACAAATCATCTGCTTAGCCATAAGTAGTGGCTCTTGCTTGTCTTTAAGGAAGCTGCTACCCTGAATGCCACATTTTGGTGAACCTGTCACATAGCACGTTTCTTAGGTCTAATGTGGATTATGTCTTTCTGATGTTTTAGAGATTTTTTTTCCCTCATTTTTAAAAAAATCTTAGTTTAGGCAGATAATTGGTTGGAGAAACAGGCATATGGTTCAAAGCTGTTAGAGAAACACATGATAGCAGGCTGACAAACCTAAGTGCTTATTCTATGTGTTGCTATTGTTTGATGGGATGTTTTGGGTACCAGTTAAATTAAATTCCTGCTTTTATCACATCAGTCTTCTCATGTCTAATGGGTACACATTATATTCTGGATTTCCAAAGAACTCAGACTTTGAATCTTCCTGTCTTTGAAACCTTTGGAATAGATGAAAAAATTAATTAAGAAGATAATTTTGTTAAACTGCACCTAAAAACAACTGCTTGCTTTCTAGCGCTGTATTTGTCATGCCACAAAGTGTGAATGGCTGAAACACTATTCATAGACAAGTGTTTCCTGCCCAGTGTTTCCTCACTGCTTTGAGGAAAGAAGCTGAGAGCAGATTCTGTTCCCTGGATATGAAGAGTTAAGGCAAAAGAATATCAGGTTATTTGTCTTGTAGAAATTGTGACTTCCAGCCGCTGATAGCTTATTGATGCCAAGAATTATTTTTCAGGTGCATTGCCAGAAAAATGGTTTGAAATGGCACCCTAACTTACATGTTTTATCAGTCTTTTTTCTTGTCTGCTTAGTGCAAATTATTTTTATTATTAAACCTCAGGTGATTTCCTCAGAATTGAAGTGTAAGCAATTTCAGGGCATGTCATTAGAGTAATGGAAGATCCCAAAGAAAATACCAAGTTTCACGAGACGTTGTAAGTTGGTTCTTATGACTATGCCATGGTGACTGACCAGGGCTGGAGAGAAAAAGACTTCTATACTTTGGTGGTGATTCTTTTGGGACAGCTCACATGGAGGAACAAAGTTGAGCTGCTAAAAGAACGTGAACCAAAATGACAGGACCATAAGGTCAGGAAATCAGCATACTCCTTTTCTGGCTTCAATGTCTCATGCAGGGATCCATGAGCTGCTTTTTTCCAAGTGCCTGCATACAAGAGGTCAAATGCTCTGCAGTTCACCACAGATTTTCTTTTTAGAGTGAGTATGGTTACAAAGATAAGACTCAGATTCTAGCAGTGAAATGTGATTGAAAAGTAGGTGACTGATGCTTAGAGCAAATAAGACGGATGTTATGTTGCTAGGAAAAAAAAAATGCCTTCAAAGAACTGATTGTGGTCTTAGTGTTTAAGTTCATAGAAAATGATTCTCTACTAGTTTTTAAAGTAATGTGATACTTCAGATGCCTGCAACACTGCTGTGTGTGGCTATGTAAATAGTGTCCCTCTGGCAGCTTGCTCTACTTGGTTCTGAAGTAGACAGCTGTTTGGAAAGACTGGGTCATCTAATAGATGCTATAAAATTCTTTACAAGTACAGTTGACAGATATTCATATGCTACAGAAACATAGAATTAGCTTTCAATGCAAGACCTCTTCTGTATATATAATATTAGTCTTCAGATCTTGATGATAAAATAAATAAAACATCCATCCTGTTTGTGCATTGTTATTTTGAGTCTGGTTAAATTAACAGAGAGATTAAACAAGTCCCGTGACCATTTGCCTTTAATTAGTCAACTCTGTAGGTTTCTTGCAGAAAAAAATTATTAGGTATGATGTCAGTATTCTCTGTAGGAAAAAGTGTGTGTGTTTGTTGATAGCTTGTGCTGGGTGAAGATGCAGGAAAAGAAAGTGTTCAGGGTTCCAGTGTGACTAGTAAAAAGATGAGAGTAACTCCATTAGGTGAGATTTGAATACTCTTGAGTTGCATACTTAAATTTGATGGGGAAAAAAATTTATTTCTTCCTTCATTTCTGCTTAGTGTTTTTTTGTTGCACAATGTGTAAATTAAGTTAATATTTTAAGTGTTGCATCAATATTATGGCCATTATGTTGCATTAAAATCATTTTGTTTCACTGAAAAGTGGAACTTTATTATTTTCAGCTCTTGGCTCTTGTGTATATATGGAAGTTCACTTTTCCCTGTCTCAAAATAAGACAAGTGTCTGTAAAAGGTACCTTCTGCACATTTCTGCAAGTCACTGTCTGGCAGACATGTCAAGTTTTGTACTAGACTATTGCTGCTGCTGTTCACTGTTTAGTGTTTGTCCCCATGAGTGTAGTGCCAGATCCAGACATAGAATGAATAGCCCATATCCAAATCATAGTTTAGATAGTTTGACAGCTGTCAAATACAATTTTTTTTTTCCTACCTCATTGCTACAACATATGCTGCTCTCCAGGGGAGACAAAAGCTTTCTGTTGATAACCTTAGTGCTTGGCTTCTGTTGAGATGGCTGAGTGCTGCTGAACTGTGTCCTAAAAATTACTGTGGCATATAAGCCAATACAGTCACTCATGTGTCTGCTGTTGGGCTCTTCCAGAATCCTTAGTGTGGTTGACAGAGCAAAAGTAGTTGAACTGAATGCCTTTGCATGTTGTCACCATAGCTCTTCATTCAATGTTCAACTCACTATTGTATCATCATTCTCCTCATTAAGTATCTAATTACTTTAATAGGCTTTCCTGACACCTTTTTTCCCCAATTATGAAGTGGTTGCCTGATGGTTTGGAGATGAACTAGAAAGCCTCATCAGAAATGAGCAACTGCCATGACAGAAGCTGCAGGTTATGACAAGGAGCTGCAGGGCAAAGTGAAAAAGAATAGGTAAAGATTTAGGTATTAGTGCCAAGATATTCCAGTGAGAAGGTAAAGGATTAGGCTGTGTGGTACTGTAAGCATGGTAGTTCTGCCAGTACTCATTAATACAGCAGAAGGTTTAATGGAAGAAAGCTGCATTGAGTGAGCTTCCTTCCTTATTTAAGCAATGTAGATTTGACATTGGTGGTGTATATGTCGGATTTTTTAATTGCTCTTTTTTTTCCTTTTTATTCTTTTAATGATGGTTAAGAGAAAAAATGTGGTTAATTCTAAGTAGAGGGTTTATTTTCATTTACAAGTGTTACATTTGTTAAACTATTCTTGTTTTAATTAGTTCTCATTATTGTTTTGAAAGGAGCTGACAATATCAGGAAATACTGGAGTCGTTACTACCAAGGATCCCAAGGGGTAATATTTGTACTAGACAGCGCCTCCTCTGAAGATGATCTAGAAACTGCTAGGAATGAGCTGCATTCTGCTCTCCAGCACCCACAGTTATGTACTTTGCCGTTTTTAATACTGGCCAATCACCAAGACAAGCCAGCAGCTCGCTCAGTACAAGAGGTATGTTAATGTGGCAGCTTCTTGCCTGTTTGTATTTACTTTCTGCACACCACTGATCCACTCTCACTTATTACCCTGACATCTTGGTTAAGGACTGGCCTCAGTTTCTTCTTTACTGTAAGTATGCAGACCAGGAAGAGTCTCAGTCCCTAAAAACTTAGTCCACTCCACTCTATACAGGCTTAGTTGTTCTGGAAAACAGACAAGTAATACTTGGATACAAACAGATCTTCTGCTTTCACCATATTTTGCTTAAGGGAGAAAAGATGTTTTTAAAACTACTCTTATGAAAAGCTGCTGGGACAGTGATTTTTTGTTTGGCTTGGGTTTTTATTTGCTATTAGTTTTAATTTTGCACTGTTCCGTTACTCCATTCTTTTCAACTGCTTAAAGCAATGCATTACGGCCATATGTTGTCATTTTTATGTAAAAGCTTTTTCTGGGCTGCTGTGTACTGATGTGAAGTCAGAGTTGCAATTCCTGTTCTGAAGTCCTTAATTGGTTCTGTTCTTCCTGTTCCAAGGAGTAATGTTTTTGTCTAATTTCTAGCTATCATACAGTAAATTGTGTAATTGTTCTATTCAGTGTACCTTTTGCTCTTCAGTTTCTGAGAAATTTGTCTTGTCTACATTCCTATCATGTCAGATACATTTGAGGAAATGCTGAAAATTACTTCTGAAATTGTAGGAAGAAGTTAAAATCTGGTTGTGTCATTCTGTTCATAAATGTCATTTAAAGGACTCCTCCTCTTAGAGATTATATATTAAATCAGTTTGTTCTGTGAGTGCAGCAGAGCAAAAACTGTTTCAGCATCTTACTGTGTTGCTGCTTTGTATTTAAACAGATTCTTTCTTAGATTTTCTTTTTCTGAATTATGAAGTTCTGGACTTTCACCTCGGAAAAAATCTGTAGAGTAGCTGCTCTTAGTACAGAATGGTTGAACATAGAGCCTTTACTTCTTTATTGCTACTTGATTCTCCTGTCTGAGTAAAAAGAAATTAAGCTTATTATGTGCTAGGAAGTGGTGTTAATGCTATTCGAGTATAGCAGTGTTTTTAAGAAGAGATTGTGACAGCTGTGTAAACTGCACTATGAAGTATTTTTTTAATTGTTGGTCCTTTTCTCTGAGAATTAATTCTTTGGAAAAAGGAAGAAAAAGGAATTAGATTTTATATATCAAGTTACATAAAAAAACCCCCAAAATTATGGAGGGATAGAACCTATAAGTTCTAGATCTTGTTTATATGAAAAACAGACATAGAAAGACGTACTGAATATTTAAAGGAAATGTAATACAGATTTTGATATGTAGGTTTAATAATTTGGCCCAGTTTATTATGCAGCATAAAAGCAAAGCATGCAGTCCTAAATCTCCCACTTAAAAAATGACAATATCCTGAGAGCAAAACTGATTTGATTTTATCATCCAAATATAGTCTATGTTCCCTGGCTTTAATATTTTCATAGAGCAATACAGATCACATTTTTCATCAACAGAAGGGCTGTTTCTTACATGATTTAAGTATTTATTATTTTACTGTATTTTTAATTTTTAAAGGGGCCAAATTTGGTTCAATATTAAGTGAAGTTTTTGATAGCAAGTAAAATTTAAGAAATATTCTTTGTCCAATTTCATATTAATAATGAATGCAATGCCAGTTGGTTTGCTTTACAGCAAATTATACTTGTAACTCTCTCGTTTTGCAGCTGAGCCCATGTGGATGGGCTTTTGGGCCTGAACTGAATTTTTTGTGTATTTAGATTTAACATTTCTTTTCTTTTATTGGCAACACGGTAATTTTCACCTCAGTCTTCATTACCAGTTGCTTGAAATCTCAGTAGGGTAATAGATCTCTGTATGCTTATAATAGAATTTCGATGGGTTTCTACTGCATGCTTTAAATAAAAAATCTTACAGTTTATTATCATAGCAGATAAGTCTTGATTGCTAATGTGTGTATGAAATACGGAATACAACAGTTTTGTTAAATGTGCACAGTATATGCATATTTTCAGGAAAAAAACCCACACTGTATCAAGAGCTCAGTGATTTTGAAATTCTTAAATTCGGGGTAGTGAAAAGCAAAATTAAAAGAACAAAAAAAGGAAAAGAAAAAAGAGAGACAGAAAATGTCACAAAGTTGTTATATTGTCCCTGAAAAAAAATGTTGATCTGTGTTTGCTGTGTATAGAAAGTAGAAGTCTTATTCAGTCGTTTTTACCATGTTAGAATGGTTATTTTTTGCTTTCCTAAAGGCTTTGCTGTGCTATTGTCCTTATTATTGAGATGTGGATAGAAGTAAAATGTGAATTGTAAGATCATTGCTTATATAAAACCAACATATTAAAGCATATAACAAATGTAATATGTTGAGGATTGGGAGTTTTATTAGACATTTTTTCATTAAGTCCATTAATTATAGGTATTTTCTTGACTTTTTCATGTGTCAGAAGACAGATAAATCACAGTTGAAATTTAAAAATATGTACGCATTCTTTTAGGCAACAAATTGCCTTTCTTTAATGGATATGAAAGGACTCCTTGGAGTATAATTAAGGAAAATGTCTGAGTTGAGTGGTGCATAATAGAAAATGTAGAAAAATATTTATCTACAACAAAAATTCTTCACAAAACTGTGCAAGTGCCAAGCAGTTTCTGCAGCAGATGTTAGTTATATTTTTTGTTGGGAAGTGCAGTTGCTTCAGTTTTTCAAAATGTTGTACTTTATTTAATGTGTTATTTTCCATGCATTGTTTAGGTAGAAATGGTACTCTAGAATCTACATGCTGTAAATAATAAGCAATGTCATGAATAGTTCTATTCACAGCTATAATAGATACTTGCAAGAATATCCAAATAACTTGCTTAATTTATGAAATGCAATTTAACCTAATTAATTTTGCAGAAAATACTTCATATTCTTGAAGTGACCAGGGAAAATTATAGGAGAAGCCAAGCTGAAATACTAATCAGTAAATGTAATCTTTTTTTTCCCTGAGTTCTGTTGCTGGTTAGCTGTTCCCTTGTTATATTTTGATTTTAAAATGAAATCAAGAAAGTAAACTTGGCATGACATTTCATTGTAGAAACTATAAATGAAAATGTCCCTAATATTTCTCTCATGTAGACTTCTATGGTGATTATTCTATCTTCCCATATCAAAGATATTTGTAAGTTTTTCCTATGACAATAGCACTTATTTAGATGTTTTCAAATATCTACTAAGTGATTTCAACTGAGCCATGCTGAAATAAAGCCTGCATAAATTAACCAGGAAATAAAACTGATACAACAGTTTTTGTTTCAATCGGTTTACTCCAGAATAACCTTATTTTAGATTAAAATTACAATAATAAAGAATTAATCATAAGTCAGTTCTGACTATAGTTTTGGAAACTTTATGAAATAGCAAATAAAAACTTTTACAAATGAAAAATAAATTTAGCTACTCAGCATGTGAGGGAAAGTGGTGGCGTATCAGTTTGGCCATGGTTTCCAAAATACAGGGTTCCGTTCCAAAACAGTTTACCTAATTATATGTTTTTTAAAATAAGTATATTCCTGACAGAATGTGCTTTTGCTTTTCCACACAAAAGTACTTTTGATTATTGAAACCGGTTTTCATTAGTCAGATTTCTCTTACAGGCTTAAAATATTGCAGGAGAGTAATGGTGATAAAAGTGTTTCAAAGTGCTTTAAAAGGAAACAGGCATAACTGTGATTGTCAACTTGTTAATTTTTATTTTGGGATGTCTGCTACTTTGTGTATGAGTATCAGAAGCTGGATATTGCACTGGATTCTTGTGAGTTGAACCAGTGTGCAAAGAGAGCTACTTTTCTCCCAGGCCAGAGCAGCAGTTAGGAGCTGCATGTGTTGGAAGTTGTCCTAAACCACTATATTTTAGGAGCAGGCTATTCTGGATGCTCGTCTGATTCTGTTCAGGACTCTTGGAAGCCATGTAGGACTGGCCAAAGGAAGAACCAAATTGAACTAGTTTTTCCAGTTCACTGGTGAAGCAGCTACTTGTTTGGCAGTGTGTTGACTTTCGGATGGTTCTGTTTTTGTATTTAAAGCTCTTTTGAAGATTGTAAGTGCATTAGATGATAAGTGTAGGTCCACTCCATTTGAACTATTCTGTTCTAAGACCATATGTGAAGACATTCATAGAGTATAACCTGTTGGTGAGTTTTTCTTCAGTTATCCAAAAATTGAGGTAACTAATACATTTCTTTCATATATTCAAATTGGCGAGCACTAGTAACAGAAAAAATCACTGAAGATCTGTTCTAAATTCCCATTTAAAAAAATGCTAGAACTGTTTAATATAGACTTACTAGTTTACAGTAAATCAACTTATTCTCGTTCTATTTTAAGATTATACTGTTGTTTTAAATATAGTTGTCAGGAAAAGAATAGTGTGGAAAGCTGGTGCTGATCACAAGAGCTGGGGTTTTTTTCTTGTATACAAGATCTTACTTTAAAGTTGAATTGATGGGAGTGTGAAACTCCATAGGGCAGTCATTTTGATTTTCCTTTTTTTCATTGCTAGACCAAGATTTATAAAAAATCTTTAAAATGCAAACAATATTTTCAAAAGTGAGTGTGAAAGGTTTGTTGCATATTTACATAGATTGTGATGTTATTTATCTATTTGAGAATATATGGATTTTGAATCACTGAGAGTGTTTAATTGGGATTTCTGCTAGCAGAATAGTGGAAGTTGACTCTCCTTATGAAAAAAGCCATCTTAGGGCTGTGAGGGCTGTTATCTATTACTCTGCCAATATCTTCTATGTTGTTTATGTCTAGAAATAATTTTGTATAAACAATGTCTAGAAATAATTATGTATAAACACATAAACAATGTCTTCTTGAAGCCTTAAATATCTTAAAGCTGAATAACCATTGTAGGAGAATGCTCAGGTTTGCCAGCAGCTGTGGAGGCTCTTACTGGTGGTGGGGATCTGGGCATGCTGCAAACTGGACTTTCTGGGCCTGCCAATGATCTAAGCTGGCTATGTATCATAGGCTCAATTTCAGGAAGTAATCACTTCTTTATATTACAATGTCTTTGTACTGTTTTTCCATAATTCATGCTGTTTGTGGTTTCTGCTAGTTAGGGGAAAATGGTTTCTCTTTGGAAACCGTTTCAGTGTATGAATTATAGATGTCATTACTAGCAATCTGAAAAACTTCATTGAACAGTGACACCTAAAGAGATTTAGATTCAGAGAGTATGCAGTATCTTAGCTAACAGTTTTGAGCAAATGTTTTCTCCAGGAGCAGGTACTGCAAAAGTTTAGCCTA